ACGGCCCAGGACACTCAGTTGCTTCTGCTCATTCTTTGCTCTTCTAATTAAGTCTTTGAGGCAGTAAGAGAGCTGTCTCTCCTGGGGGCATTCACAGAAGCTCCAGTGTGACCAGTTGGCAGCTTTGCTGCGGAGTGGGACAGGAAGGGTCCTAGTGGAAACTTTGGCTAGACTCAGCACTCCACATTTCATCCTGTTTGCCTGTATAATCCTAACAGTATGATTCAATACCTACTACTCAAAATATAGATGAACAAACAGGTTGAGAAAAGCCAGGTGATGTCCCTGTCGTCACGTAATTATCAAGCACTGGTTGATTTGGGGTCAGAATTGAGATAGTCTTAAAGATCCTTTGCTGTATTAAGATTTTCTAACTCTGTATGGCTGCAGCAAGCTTGGGTTCAAAATTTACAGGACCTTTCTTCAACATGAGAATGTGAAGCCTCTTGTTCAAAAAGTGAGAAAAATGCTATTGGAGATTCTAGAATATGTATACACTTTTGCTTTGTTTCATGGTCTCTCTCTCAACCTGTTGTTGCTTTTCTTCCCTCCCTCTCTTCCTTCCTTCCTTCCTTCCTTCATTCCTTCCTTCCTTCCTTCCTTTCATTCATTTTTTTTAATGGGCTATTTGCTATTGTGCTCCCTTGGGCATGAAAATACTACTCACAAGAACTTGGGGCCTGTCCCCAAAATTGGAGTGTCCAGCCCACCAGCAGTTGGATCTCTCCTGACACCAGTTATCAGCCTGATGCTTCATGAAGACAGACATCTCCCTTTCCAATGAGAATGCAGCTCCTGCTCATAGGATTTGCAAACTGTGCACTGGGATGTGCTTGGTGCTTAGATTAAGAGTCAGGGAGCAGCATGCTCCTACTGAGATGCCCATTGAATGCCCTGAGGCTCTGCCCGCTTCATGGGAACAACTACCAACATGCCCTTCCATGAAGTGGCATGGATTTTGTGCCTAACCCTGATCTCCCTGGGGGGCATAGGATGGCAGTGGTCACTGGGTGGCCAGGAAAGGCCGGAGACAACAGCACTAAAGACTAGGATATAGAATGCCCGGAGGTGGATCAGCATGAAAACTGAGTCTCTAAGCCACTGTAGTGCTCCTTAGTCCCATAAAAACTTCAGTTGCAAAGCATTAATTCAGAAGTAAAATTAAGGATTTCAAGATGGTGACCACAGACCATTGAACTTATATGTGGAGCTGAGCATGGGAATCCTATGTCCCTTCTCCGGTCGAGTGCCCATGAAGCCAGCCCTGAGCTGTAGAGAACCAAAAAAACTATAAGTGAAAATTCTGGAGCCAAAGGTGCTTCTATAGGGAAAACAAATAAGTTGGTAAATTATTTGAAACAGACACAAGTCAGTATATATATATATATATCATGTCTATAAAGTTTGTGATTAAGTTCTATATTTAGGTTTTCTGTATATTATTACTTTGGAAATTAATGACTGGTTAGATTTCCTTGTTATTATTATGATGTATTTTATTCTTTTTACATTTCTCATTGTCTCAAATTTGATTTATCAGGCATTGAATGTGGCCAGGTTTGAGGTGAGGGGGACACTACTCACTTGATGTCATTCTAGAATCTTCTATGTGCAAGATTTTCCCTGAGAGGAAGGCACATGGCAAAGCATGAGAGGAGGACCAGAATTGGCCTGCTGGAATGAAACCAAAGGGTTGAAGGAAAATCAGTTTGATTGAACTAAAAAAGTGGGTCAAAATTTGGGAGGAAGAGGCGGGCCAGGATGTGAGTGTGGGTAAGTTGGCAAAGGTCAGGCACAAGTACCTGACCACCTGGCAGTGGAATCAGAACCGGGATTGGAATTACAGAGGACATTAGAGAGAACTCCCATTCCAGAGGGGGAAATGAGTTCTTGGAGGAGGCAGAGGAAAAAGCTCCATCCCTCCAAGACAAAGTGGGCGGGTCGGGGCTGCACTAGCCATTAAACACCTACCCTGCTGCTCTGGCACCCTAAAGGCATGCGCCTGCTCCTCCTGACTGGTTGTAGAGGGGCCTCTTTTGATTCGCCTGCATCCTGCATCCAAAAGCATTTTTGAAGTTAGGCAGGGTCACAGATAAGGACAGAGTAATTCATAGCAAAAAAATAAAAATATAAAAAACAATTTTTTTTTTTAATCCAAATGAGACTTTTGGCAAGTTGGTCAAGTCCATCAGCCAAGCAAGGACCTGTGGCCTAGAGAAAGCGACAGCAGGGGACAGCTGGGACTGTCCCTTGGGAATGGGAGTTCTTTGGTCAGCAGTTTTTATTGTGGTCTTGTGTGCTGGCGCAGGGAATGGATAAGGCGGCTGCTTCCTCCTGGCTTGGTTGCTTTCATGTGGGGTTGCTAGTGGGGGATGCTCAGCTGTCCTTTCACTTTGTGCATTAACTGCTTCCATTTATAAAAGCACCCCAGATGCAGGTTTGTATTGTTCGGCAGTTGAAATATAAACTGCTTAAATGGTTCTGAGAAGCCGAGAGGTGGAGGGCTGTTTGCCCATGTGGAGGGAGCAGAACAGAACAACCATACTCAACCATCAAGCTACTCCTGTAAATATTTGCAGACGCCCCTTCAGAGCTTCAAAAGCTTAGGACAGGATCATTGGATGATTTGCTTAGAAGAAGAAGAAACAAAATTGACCTCATGCTCTAAGGCAGCCATAAAAAGGAAGAGTTGTATATGGACAGAAGACCACAAAGGGGAAAAAATTGCTCAAAGTTTAATAAACACAAAAGAGAATAAAAATAAATCTCAAGAGCACTTATTTACAAACTTGATAGAAGGATAAGATTGAGGCAGGCGGGCGTGAAAGATGGGTGTTTGGGGGAAGTAGAACAGGCCTGTGAGGGATCCACAGAAAGAGAAGAAAATGAACGAGATGTTTACTCTTGCTAACAACAGGAAGCACGCTAAATTAGCCTTGCTCTTCCAGGATGCTCTTTCAAAGGATGTTTGAAACTTCTGCTGTCTAATGCTGAGGATAAGTGAAGATGAATGCAGACACTCTGGCCTGCAGAAGGTTCTGGCCAAGAGGGTGTGCAAAGCCAGAGGGCCTGGCCCCAGCTCTGCCCAGCCCTCTCTGTCCAGGTGTCCAGCCTGTTTTGGGTTGAGCTGGTTAGGATAGGACCAGCCTCTCCCGTCATTGGGGTGGGCATATTCTAGGGGAGAAGCAGATTTCTTTCTTTTCTGCAGTACCTTTTCAGACTGCTATGCTAGGGGGCTCCAAAAACCTTCTGTTAATACCAATTTCTGCCCTCCTGCAACTGCCCACCACCTATTTCGCAGTGGCAATGGCTGCAGTGGCTCATCGCTGTGTCTGCATAAATACTTTCTTTTCTCTGAAATCTGGATGCTTTGGATTTTTGGGTTTTTTTTTTTTTGTTGTTTGTTTGTTTCTGCAACTTCTGGTTCACTAGCTACAAAGCCTCAATTCACACAGTGGTTTTTTGAACCAGCATCAAGCACGGCATGGTTTGAAATTCATTTCTTCTCTGTGAACTTGAATCCGGAGATTATCAAGTATATGGGGAAAAGAATGAGGGGAAACTGCCACAAGGGGGAAAATCTAGAGCTCTTTAGATGAGGAAACGTTTCGTGTGTTCTTGGATTTTTTTTTTTTTAAAGCATAATTGTCAGGGCATGGATTTCCCAAGAAATCATGAAAGGTGTTCATTTCTATTTTAAGCTCCACAAGAAGGCTTGTTTATTTAATAAGCTAGCATTGCCAATAGCCAGATGCCTGTGTCCTTCAAGACTCTCATTGATGACCAGCTATGCAAACTGAAGCTCTTTGGTGAACTTCATGTTTGCAGAGCACTGTCCTGAATATGTGGGGAAAAAAGAAAGATCTGGCAAATAAAGTCTGTGCCCTTAAGATTCTTAAAATTTCTCAGGGGAAAGCAAGATAAACAAACATGATGCAGAAGTAATAAAAATTTTGCTTGTAAAGAAACAAACAACTGTGAATGATCATTTTGTCATGAAGCTACCTAATAGAAGAAAGGGTAGAAAGAAATGGAGCTACCAGATTGGATGGAGTCCTCTGGCATAGGGAAGCTAGATTTGCCCATTTGGGAAGAAGATGGTAGAAACATATTTGTCAAGTGGTAGGTCCAACGTTGGTACTCAATAAATGAATGTTGTATATGAAAGCTTAGGGATAGAGTTGACCTGCTTTTTTGGTCCTGCTATAGCCTCACTTGTACATTTAAAGGCAATGGCAGATTATTAAAAAATAATAATAATAACAGCAAAACTCTAAGCAACCCATGAGCTTGAAATAATTGTGCACTCTCTGCAACTCTTTTGCATGGTTCAGATGGAGGGAATTTGTGCTAATTCTTATTATTAACTAGGATTACCTTTCATCAACAGAATTATAAATAATGAAGAATTTTAAGACTGGATTTGGTATAGCCAGCTTGCTAATATGGTTCTGTTTATTTATATTTCCTCACCATAACTTGGTCATACGTGTAAAAAACCAAACTATTGTAGCCAAAAAAGATGAAATACATGGGCCTGGATAAAAGTAGACTATTTGGATGCCAAACTTTCAAGGAAAAAAAGTACATGGGCGAACTGCTTGCTATTTTCTTGGCACATCTGATTAAAGTGTATGCGAGGCCGACAGCTCTCTCCAGGCATCAACTGTCATGAACTTGGTCCAGTTCATAGCCATCTAGGATTTTCCACCACTCCGTGAACCTTCAAAGGACAGGGTTAGCTGCACGCCCTCCAATGTAGTTGGAAGTAGTTTGTTAATCTCTATTAATCTGCTACTCCTGTAACCAAGTGCACATGTTTATTTTACTTTTTGTTAGTGGTTACATTGTTAGTGGTAGTAAACTGACCACTAGCAACGAAATCATTCTGTAGATTTTTCCCTTATGGTTTGGGGTGGGGGGGGAACTGTCTCACACCACGGTCTTTTTCGAGAGCAGAGTGGGTTTTATCATTTAATGATTGCCCTAACTCTTTGCAGATGCCATCCCGCCCACTTTCTACAGACCCTACTTCAGAATTGTCCGGTTTGATGTGTCAACCTTGGAGAAGAATGCTTCCAATTTGGTGAAAGCAGAGTTCAGAGTCTTTCGTTTGCAGAACCCCAAAGCCAGAGTGCCTGAACAACGGATTGAACTCTATCAGGTAAACTTCTGTTTGGGTCATTTTCAAGGGTAATTAGTTTGAGATTTGCAGATAAAAGACTTTCTACTCTCTTAGATTTTCTTAGCTGGCATAAACTCTACTATACATGGCGGTTGTGATAGAGAGCCTTCTTTATTATTACTGTGAGAATGATAGCTTGGTCCTAATGGCTCAGGAAGGGCCCCAGAGTGCACTATCAATCTCTGTGCACACTAGTTTAGTGGCATTCACACTACTTCAGTCCCACCTTTGGGATGCTTTAGGCCAAGAGCCAAACCCCTCATCTGGGCCGTCAGAGACTAAGGCTAGATTCCATCCCGAGGAAGAAGTCAGCCGACCTTCTGCTTCTCATGCTGTATATCTCTCTTATTTTCCTCTTTCCTTCCATCCTATTGTATTTTTCGCTCCTTTTCTTCTTTACTTCCTCATCTGTTTACTAATTTCATTCAGTTTCCTTTTTTCCCTCTAATTCTACCCACACTCTTCAATCCTCCCTCCTCCGCCAAGCCCCTCTGTTCTCCATAATTTCATCTCCTCTCATCTTCCTAGTAGAGTTGGCGGGGCAGCTGGGTCAAAAGATGATGACCACGGGTCTAGATCCTGAGGTCTCAGGCCTGTTCTTCAAAGCCCGTTATATAGGTGGTGTCTACAAGACAGTAGCTTCAGCATCACCTTGGAGCTGTGAGAAGTGTAGAATCCCACACCCACCCCAGACTTATTGAATCAGAATCTACATTTTAAGGAGAATCCCCAGATGATTCTTATGCACAATGAAGCCCAACTCAACAGACAGTTAAACTACAGCATGATATCACGTACATAGTATATGCCCTGGAGGTCCACCAGGGAGCTGACGTTTGTGTGAGACCTCCAGAAGAATCTTCAGATATATATTAAAACAGGATGAGGGGTGGTCATTCTTGGCAGGAAAGGCTTGTACTAGGGACCAAATCCAGGGCCTCCTATATACTAGGCAAGTGCTCTACTACTGAGCTATATAATCAGTACCCAAATGACACAGGTTTATTTAGGGTACCTGGCACATGGTGCTCAGGACCTGGAGATGAGGAGAGAAAGATACTGCCCTCCAGGCAGAATATGAGAGGGAGACTAAAGAGAATTAAGAGCCCAGATCTGGAATCCCCAAGGTCAAGGAGCAGGTATGTGTGACAGTCTGGTTAAAAAGTAGGCTTATTTGAGGAAGGTGAAGGAATTGACAGTCGTGTGTGCATTCAATTATTTGGAAATTTGGATAATGAAGCTAAGAATTCCCCTTATATTTATTATGAAAATGGGAATTACCCTACATCAATGTTGTAAATGAGATCTCAGGAACCGGTTGAATGTTTTAAAACAGTTTTCAAGTACTAGTTGATACGCGTGCTCATGAAAAGTAATTCTTACTTTATTAAAACAGGTCTTCAAGAACTTCTGCTCAGAGATCTTTAAATCTTGATGTGTCTTCTGAGAGAGCACTATGAGGTGTGACAGATGGCCAGGCCCCGGGCTTCTACTACAAGTGCAGTGTCATGGTGTACTTGTGTGTGTTTAGAAGTGTGTCAGACGACACTGACAACTGTCTTGTGGAGTTAGTGCTACCAGGGGTTCTTTCTACAACTCTATCCTTTCTCTACTTGACAGAGACACTGAGTCACAGAGAAATGAAGTAACTGGGCCAGGGTCACATGGCTAGGGAGTGGCAGGTCTGGGATCCCATTCCATCTCTGGCTTCCAAAGCCCTCCTGTTCCTCACCACGTAACTATGCTGTTCATAGACAATCTTTCCCTTCCTCTTTCCCTCAATAAGAGCCAGAAGAGAAGAAAAATAAGGAAAACTAGGCCAGAGGGTGGAGTGATGTTTGGAAGAGGAAGCAAAGATGGTTCCTGTGAAAAGAAGCCAGATTAAGGGTAGCCAGATAAATTGCAAGGTGATTCAAACAAACAAACAAACATGAGAACATCTCCTGTGTCTCCTTTTTTCCCTTCTTTTTTCAATTAAAACACTCAGTTTCTGTCTGGGCTGATGACTGTATTATGGATTATTCTCTTTGATGCTGTTTCAGTTATGTGGCTTCAGTAAATTGAAGGCAGGGTCTCTTAGTTCTTGTTGCCTGCAACATAAACTGCTAAATCACTATTATTCTTTGATATCTTTGGCCTTTGCTCTGATGAGTGGTCTCTGCCAGAAGGCTTGCTGATGACTTCCCTTCCTCCCAGAGGCTATCCTGGCTCTAAGAAGGGATGCATCCAATGAGGCTGGTAAAATTAGAGGAATTTGGTGAGTTCTTAGTAGATGTGTCCCTTTCTGAGAGATTTTTTGCAATATTAACTACTCCATGACACAGGCAACCAGACACACGTGGATTTGAGTCTCTCAGTTGGAAAGGGTACAGCCCAAGATGGAAGTTTTTAGTTCTAAGAGGCAAGGACATGATGGTCATTGTCACAGAACACCTGTAGGAGACAGCTCCAGCAGAAAATTAAGAAAGAATTGAACCTTCTAATCTGTCTGGAACTCACCTTGCAGCAGTATCACCTCCTGAAAATAGCTGATGTCCAGGAAATGAGTTAGAGAGGTTCTTGACCACAGCAAAGTCCTCATACAGCTGAGTTATCAGGAAGGCAGCTGAGCCCTTTATCCACTTCTGACCAGGTGGATGGTCTCTAGGACCACAAGAAGTTAGAAGTATGGAAGAAGGGAAAGCAGAGGAAGATACCCTGACAGCCACAGAGATGATCCTTTAGAGCTGAGATTTTGCCAGTTGCAAACTAACTCAGGAAATCAAGTCATGGAAGCAATGCCTGTTGTGGACAGTTTTGCTAAATCTTCCACTGTTGATAGTTAACCTCTATTTTATCTCCTTGGCTCCCTACCTAGTTTCTGACTTCTGCTTCTGGCTTGTTTATTTGGAGTCTCACTTTTGGATTGTTGTTTACCAACTTTCCACTTGCCTCCAGCTCTTAACTAGAGGTCTTTGCAACCTTCAGTAATAAACTAACTCCCTTTTGTAGTCCCAGGACAGAGATTGATGCCTGTGATTACAGCCTTGAATTATGAAGGTGAGGCTAAATTATATTCAGGAAAATTGAACACAGGCAATAAATTTTAGAAAAGTTTATATCCAGAATTGCTGAAATATTACTTTGGAAAAAAAATGGCTTGGTGCTTAAATGGGCAGATCTCCAACTATTTGGAAAGCTTGACTGTTCTGAAGAACAAAGTCTCTAAAGTTTCTAGATGTCCTTTGATTACTATATTACCTGATATATAGTTGACATTCTACTCCCTAGAGGAAGTTAGGGAGACTGTGAATCAATTCTTAGGGTGCTGAGATAGTTGTATGAGTGATTTATTAGGATTTCTTAGATGATTGATTTCACAGTTTCCCATGTATGCAACTGTGTGCGAGCATACATGTGGGCACAGGTACTTCCTCATCAAGTGTGTCTTTTATGAGGACTACCCACAGTTCTTTCTGGGAAGAAAAAGGACAATTGCTTCTGGACAGATGCAGTTTAAACAAGCTCTCTTGGTGATTTGGATGTGATCCTTCTCTCCTTTGGAACTGCATCTTTCCATTCTCATTTGGAGAGCATTGGGAGATTGAAGACCTATCCCAAATTTGGGGGGGGTCATTCTGTCCCAAACAGTATTTCCTGGTACTCTTTTTAGAGTCATAATATTAGCTTGATATCCTAAAGTAGCACCTCTGAGAGTGAGCTCAGGGTTTGTCTGTCTGGTCCCAGGCCATGGAGGTCTATTGGTTCTTCCTATCTGGGAGATGTTGGGACCTGAGCTTTGGATGAAGTTACACTGAGCTTGGATAAAACTAAAAACTTGGGAATTCAAGGTTTTCAAAACCTTCTCCTCTTTATAAAACAGTCTGTCAGAAAGGTAGTAAAATAGAATCTTACTGTCCTACTTGGTGTAACCTCTGTCATGTTAATGAATCCTGACTAGCATATACTTCTATGATCCGGATATGGCTTCAAATGTATGCCAATAATGTAGGAACTATGAGAGGGATAATGCCCTTTCATAGATGCAGGCAAAGAGGAGAGAAAACACAACTTTTTCCAGATAGAAAGTATCCTTGCTGGTTTTTTTTTTTTTTTTTTAGGTTTTTTTTTCTTTTTTTTTTCTTGTATTGGGGGATTAAACCCAGGGGCACTTAACCACTGAGCCACATCCCCAGCCCTTTTTGTTATTTTTTATTTTGAGACAGGGTCTTGCTAAGTTGCTCAGGGCTTCACTAAGTGGCTGAGACTGGCTTTGAACTTACAATCCTTGTGCCTCAGCCTCCTGAGTCACTGGGATTACAGACGTGCACCGCTGAGCCTGGCTTCTTGCTGTGTTTTTAAAGCTTTATAACAAAGGCAGCCTTTATTGAAATATGCTCAGATAAATCTCCAATTCTCTGGAAGTGGTTTCAAACCCACAAGTCAGTACTGCTTAGGCCATCTGGAAATTCGAACACATCTTTCTTTGATTAAGTTGCCTCTATATTTATGATTAAAATCATGACTGGAGTTATAAGATAGAGGGAAAATACAAAGGCAAATCTTTTTCAAGTTGAATATCACTTGCATGATGAGCAAGGACACCTGCTACCTTGGAGTGTGATGAATTCTCCACTGTACAGTGAAGAAATGAGGCCTGGAGAAATTACTGGCTTGTCTAAGCCAGTAATTGGTGTCCCTAAAGAATTGTGTCCCTAAAGAATTCCTTGGGGCCATTTAATAATACCTATGCTTAGATCTGCTGCTCTGAGAGGACTTAGAACTCTGAGGCATTTCTAGTTTCCTCTCACCAAACCATACCCTTTCCACACCTATTTTCAATTACCTTACCACCTCCAGGGTAGTAGGATTCATATCACTGTTTGGTTATGTATTTGCCAAATTAAAAAAAAAACTATCCAAAAATTGTATGGTCTCAAATAATGCCCATTTTATTTCATCTCATAATTTGTTTATGAGTCAAAAAATTTGGTCAGGGC